GAGGCTGTGACTATGTGAACTGCATGGGCTCCAGCCTCGTCTGCCCCTCGACCCTCAGGACCCCGGCCCTAGCCACCAGGATCCCCCCTCTCCCACGGCCAGTGGGACCGGGTCTCTGATCCCAATCCCAGCCACGGCGTTCTTCTCTCTCCTGGCTGCATGCGACAGCTCCGGGAGTTAGCAGCCAGGACCTTCCCGCTGGGGCCCTCCTCAGGTCACTACACCCTATCCCTGTCGCCCTGAGGTGCTGCACATGGACATCACGGGCTCCGGGGAGCTGGGTGCCTGTCAGTGAACATTGGTGTTTCCAATGTCCCTGAGCCCTCCCTGTTGCTCAAGGCAAAAGTGGTCCTGATGCAATTTTTGCGGACCTCAAAGCCACCCAGCCCTTGCCTCAAAGTGACCTGTCCTTTGACAGCTCTGTAGTCCTTGTGGTGCTTGTATCTGTGTTTTTGTGTGTTGTCTGGAGTGCAGCTGTCTGCTGCCTCACATGCCTGAATACAGGTGGTGCTTAACACGTGTCTTTGAGTGAATGAATGAACCTCTGCAGTCCTATGCCAACCAGTGTGTCATCGCCTGCCCATGTCTCCTCCCAGTGCCACCCTCCTGGCCCTGCGGGATGACCTACGTGTTGCTGGCCTCTCTCTCCACTGCGATCTCGGCCGCCACGTGCTCCTGCTGTCTGCGGATGAGGTCCATCCTCTGGCGGCAAGAGCGCAGCTCCCCTCTGGAGTGTGAAAGCAAGAATCTGGATAAGGGTTTCCTGATTCCAGCCGGCCTCTGAAGGGCCAGTGGGACCAGCAGGGCAGGGTCAGGCCCCCAGCTCTCCCCTCGCCCAGGCCTGTGGGCACATCCTCCTCGCCAAAGGTCCCTCCAGCCCAGCCAAGTGACACGAGCAGGGTCTTGCCCATCTGTTTGTTGAATACCCTGGCCCACGGGGGCCAGCTGTGTGGCCTCCACCCAAAGGTGACATGCTCTCGGTAGACAAGGTTGGCGCAGGAACTGAGAGCTAACATAGATCTGCATAAATCAGCAAGCTCGGGCACACAACGGGCACACCATGAGAGGTAGGGGGGCCACAGAAAAGGCAGGTGGCCGCAGCCGCTCATCAGTGTTCTAGAACAGACCACACAGGCCCGGACCAGCGGCTCCATGTGCGGAATCCTGGTTCAAACGCCGGCTCGCGCCATGTGACGCGCACCTCAGTTAAAAACACCAGAACAGGCCCAGAGCTCTGGCTCCAGAAGACGTCTGGAGGACACAGAGAAATGTCCATGGGCTGCTGTCGGATGACGAGAGGGAAACACTCATTTTCAGGGGAGGCAATGGTGCCGGGCTCACGCAGAGGAGGTTTCTATGTTTTAGGAGATGCTGAAATACCTAGGAGTGAAGTATCACGCCTGCAGTTTGCTTCCAAATAATTCAGGAACAAAGCAAAACAAAGCCAAAAAACAACGA